GAGAGCGGCGGCGAGCCTGTCGGTCAGGCCGAGGTGTACGCCACGATTGGGCGGCCGCTGGTGGCGCACGCGTTCAACGGGTTCAACTCGTGCCTGTTTGCGTACGGGCAGACTGGGAGCGGCAAGACATACACGATGATGGGCGCTGACCCGAACGCGATTGGCGGAGCTGACGCTGGCGTGACGCCGCGGTTGTGCCTGGAGCTGTTCCAAATGCGCGAGCGCATCGAGGCGGAGGGCCACTCGAAGTGGTCGGTGGAGGTGGGGTACATCGAGGTGTACAACGAGCGTGTGTCGGATCTGCTGGCGAAGCGGAAGAAGGGCTCGAAGGAGGAGGTGTTTGTGGATGTGCGCGAGCACCCGACGCGTGGCGTGTTCATCGAGGGGCAGGAGCTGCGCGAGGTGTCGAGTCTGGACGAGGTCCTGGGGCTCATCGAGGCCGGCAACCGCGTGCGCCACACCGCCGCGACGAAGATGAACGACCGCAGCAGCCGCAGTCACGCGATCTTCATGCTGCTGCTGCGCGAGGAGAGGTCGATGCAGGCGGCGACTGGGCAGACAATCACGACGGCCGGCAAGAACAGCCGGATGAACCTTGTGGACCTGGCGGGGTCGGAGCGTGTCGCGCAGTCCGAGGTTGTTGGGCAGCAGTTCAGCGAGGCGCGGCACATCAACCTTTCGCTGACGACGCTCGGGCGCGTAATTGACATGCTGGCCGACATGACAAAGAACAAGGATAGCCAGTGGTCGATGCCGCCGTACCGCGAGTCGAAACTGACGTTTCTCCTGAAGGACTCGCTTGGCGGCAACTCGAAGACGTTCATGATTGCGACGGTGAGCCCGAGTGCGATGAACTACGAGGAGACGCTGAGCACGCTGCGCTACGCATCTCGTGCACGTGACATTGTGAATGTGACGAAGGTGAATGAGGACCCGCGTGCACGTCGCATCCGTGAGCTGGAGGAGCAGATGGAGCAGATGCGCAAGGACATTCAGGGCAAGGATCCTGCATACGTTGCCGAACTGGAGGAGAAGCTCAGGCTGCTGGAGGCGGAGGCTCAGAAGCGCGCTGCCGACCTGCAGGCACTGGAGCGAGAGCGGGAGAAGAACGAGATCCGAGAGAAGATGCTGCGGGTAACAGAGGCTGAGCGACAGGAGCTGCTGAGCAGGGCTGGGGCTTTGGAGCGGCAGGCAATCGAGTTATCCCGTAACAATGAAAAATTACTGCGCGAGCGGGAGGAGAAGGAGCGCCGCTTTCTTGAGCAAATGCGGCGCCGCGAGGCCGAGATGGAAAATAATCAGGAGAGGTGGAATACTGCTCTGGAGCGGGAGCGGGTGTTGGTGCTTCAGTTGCGCCGTGATTGTGATTTTTATCGAGTGCAGTTGGATGCGATGGAGTCCCGCTACGGTCTCACGGTGGATCACATGGAGTGTCTCGTAGAATTTTTGAGGATTTTTTACGAAAAGGGAGCAGCATCTGTCATGAATTGCCAGATGGCGCAATTACGGGAGTCGGAGGCGAAGTGGGTGTCGTCAATGAAGGCATTGAGGAAGGATCACGACAATGTCGCCGTCGAGCGCGCTCGATTGTCGGAATCACTGCGTACGATGGAGGCGAAGAACAAAGAGTTGGACGCTGCGAATGAGGCGCTTGCGGTTCAACTTGCGCAAGTGGAGGGAGAGATTTTACGCCTGCAGGATCGGTTTACAAACACCGTGTCGGATCGCGACGCACTTGCGGAACATCTGCAGGTGATTGAGGTTACAAAGGCGGAGTTAGAAGCCCTCTACAACGAAGCCAACAAAAAATGTGAAGAGTTTGAGCGCAAACTTAACTCGCCCCCCGTTTGCACCCATCATTCCAAGAAATTTGAGGGAGAAGAATGGGATGCCCTCCTACACGGCCGCCCATCGGAGATGCTGGATGTATTTACGAACGACGTCAGTACGGCCTGCAGGGTATCGAAGGACTCGGTCAATAATGTAACGTTTGCACTCGGGAGTCTCACATGCGAGTTTGACGTAACACATGATGCGGACACTACAGCAGCAGACATAGACAAACGTATCGCAGAACACCCGTTTTACCTCATGCAAAAA